GGAGGGTTCGTGTGTTTTCGATTCCGTCATCCACTACCAGGATTAAAGAGACCTGGTCCTGTGACACCTCTCTTGTGAAACTATCCCGATGTCCTTGGACAGGAACGAGTTAACGATTGAAACTCTGGAGTAATCGAGTATCGGGGCAACTTCTAGTCCCATGTTCCTCTGGATGAAAGCTTTGAATAAAGGAAGTATTGAATTCTTGATGCAATAGTGCAGCGCTGCAGTAGAGTATCATACATTGTCTTGCAAGAAGAGCGAATGAAGAACTTGCTAGCATCCATTCAGGAAAGTGGGTGATGAGCTAAGCCTAAAATAGAAGGGTCATTCACTCATTAACTATGATAACCAAGTATTGGTTGGCTCAAGAGCCTGGCTCATGAAAAGCTGCACCAAAATCTAAAAAAAAAAGAAAAAAATCGTGAATCGAACCAATTTTTTTTCATGATTAATTGAGCAAAAGTTAAGCCTCAATCTCATTTGTGGTGTGACTTGAAAAATTGTGAAAGGTTCTATTCCATTCCAAAAGGAGTGTGATGTTAGCACTTTTCCGAACCATATTAGGAATGAAAGCATTAAATGAAGTTGTCTAAACCCATGAAGGTCACTCGGATTCCAACCTGAACGGAACTTATCCAAATTCATATTCATACTATAATACTTTCTTGTTATTACTTCTACCCGATACTTGCTCTACTGAGCCCTGTCTTAACCCTCTACATTGAAAATCTACGTTCAAAGTCGGTGTTGATGAAAATAAGGGGAAGAAGGTGTGGCGCAGGTGGCGCACTATGTATAACACATGCATCGTCACGGGTTCAATTCCCGGATCGATATCCTCTTTGCGACCATGCCTTCCACCTCCGAGGTCGATTATTTGGTACCTGATTTAACTTGGGGAATGAAAACACAGATTTATACATCTGTTGGCCACCTTGTATAGGCCACGTACGCATTCAAACTGCCACATTGATCTTGAATGGAAGTCAAATGCATGGCGCATTCCAAAAAGGAATCATTAATTCTTCGAATCCTATCTTCTGACCCTTTATTGATGATAACACTTTCATCTTCAGGGGTTTCACTTAGGATACAGCTATACAGATAGTTGTCAGTTCTTTGAAGCCCGAGCCAATACATATACGTGCCAATCTTTCGATATGTAAACATGCCTGTTGACTCTGCTTGAGTCAGACATTCCTATCGTACGCTTTTCTTGAAATTGATTAGGATTGCCATTGGTAACTCATGTAGAGCAATTTTTTAGTTGGCCTGAGTTGGTGTAGTGGCAAGTGGCGCAATATCTCCCATGCACGGTCACGGGTTCGAATCTAGGTAGTCGATTCTGCGGCATAGACTAAATTAAAGGATAGAGCCTTCCTGCGTCGATCAAGCCCGTCTGAGGTATGCACCCACGCATTGGACGACTCCTATTCAGAATGGTAGTGTTGCCCTGAATGCNTATCTGGCCTATACAATGACTTGCAGTGGCCGTGCGAAGTTCAGGTCAGTGTTTTTTTTCCTCCCAGAGAAGTTTGGCACTAATTAACTGACCCTGGAGGGGTGGAAGGCTTGGCTGGCCCAGGCGTATATCGATCCGGGATCAGAACCTGTGAAAATGTTGTGCGCCTCTTTTCGCTACACCAACTCAGGCCAACTAAAAAATTGCTCTTCATGAGTCACCATTAGCCATCCTATTCAATTTCAAGAAAAGCGTTTGATAGAAATGTTTTTCTCAAGCAGAGTCAACAGGCATGTTTACACATCGAAAGATTGTCACGTAAATGTGTTGGTTCGGGCTTCAAAGAACTGACAACTATCTGTATAGCTACGTGACTACTTCCCACGTGAACATCGCGGTAAATTGCAACAAGTCATGCCCCATAGTAACTCGTTCCTCTTTTCGCTCTTGAAGAAAGTTCCCCCATGAAGAAACAAGGTAGCTCTTTGGGCAACTTCAGCTGATTATAAGTCTTTTTTCTACATAATCGAGCTGTGCAGTTGCTATTCAATATTTCACAACGCTCGCGTTCATGAATAAAAGTCCTGAACCGTTACTCTCTATCTTCATAATAATCACCCTATACTGAACTGTTAGGGCGGAGATGGTGTAGTGGAATGTGGCGGGCTACCTCCCATGCACGGTCACGGTTTCGAATCCCAGATCAATATCCGCCTAGGCTAACCAAGAATTCGATCCCTCCAGGGTCGGTTGGTAATAGACTCGTCTGGGAGGACAAAAGCAGTGACTTGCACACCGGCTGGCCACCATGAGTCTTTGTGGGGCCCACATACGCATTCAATACACCACTGCGACTCTGAATGGAAGTCGAATGCGTGGGCGCATCCCTCTGACGGGATCGGTTAACGCCCTAAGACTTTACCCTTTAGTCTTTTATTGAACTGTTGAATATCAGTCAACCGCAGGCTTGAGTTGTACTTACTAATGCTGTCGAGTAAAGCATTGAAGATGCTGGGGCTCTTCAAACGGGATTTGTGCTATTAGCTGTTTATGATCGCAATATTCTTGTACTGTGAGAGACTGTTAGGTGGAACAATTTATTAGTCAACGGCCTAACGATTTGACGTCTTCGTCTTCTCCAGAGGCCTAAAGCAACTCGAGACAATCTGCACCGTACCCGAAAAGAGCAGTACCCCCTGGAGAATGTCACAGTAGATTCAAAACCCATAATTCAAGCAGAACTCGCCAAGGTTCCACCATTCGAGCAGGTATAAAATCCGCTGTCGCCACAGGCGATTGTATAGCGAATGAGACCTTGATGTATTCGCTTATTGTAGTCTGTATGCTCTACTGACTTCAATTTGTTACATTTGGAAAAAGATCTTTGGTTTTGAACGGGCACTCATCTCTACCGTTCATTTTAGCATTTCATTGGAAAATCCAGAGCGCCTCTAGTGCCTTTCTCGCCGAAATCTCCTTCTCCTGCGCTAAAATCGTGCACTTACTCGCTGAAATCTAATCTAATCTGGCTATTAGCCATCGTCAGAACCCCTGCACAGTGGTATTTTATTTCGATAAAGGCATTAACAACACTTTCTGACATTTATCCAAAGAGGGCACCTTGATTTTGCTATTATTTGTCGCAGTTATATGAGAAATATTCTGCATTCGAATTGTGTGTATTATTTCAATTTATTTTCGACGTTGTACACACTCGACAGATTTATCTATGTATAGAGGAAATGCCTGAGTGGAACACAACAATCGAAAAATGTGCGATGCATACATGTTATTCACAAAATGCTCACCTTATACCTGCAACTGTAAATAATCGATCATCTAAAGACGAACAAATACTCGCAAATAGTAACTGGGGTGTATGTAAATATTTTCATCAACATACCCTGCCTTCTACGACGGGCATCTTGAGAAAATTTGAAAGCAAATGATTTTCTGTCAAGTATAAGTTATGTTATGTTATGTTTGTTATGTTTATTACGTTGCTAAGGCAAACGCAAGAAAAGCCAGAGAACTACTATAAGAAGCAACAAGAAAACAAAACACAAACATTCGTAAATAGCAACTATGCAGTGCCGCATGCGTCTTGAAGTCCACTGTCATTGATCCTATGTAGAAAAAGCTCTTCAACACAGCGCCAAATCTGGAATGATGATGATAACGATGATTCACCGATCGTCACAAAATCAGTAAAGTAGGCAATGTATTTGTCATTTGGGGAGAGAAGGGTCAACAGGCTCACGTCTTTGAGCTTCGTACTAAATCCGCTTATTTCTAGCGACAATTTTTAGCTGAGTCCAACGCTCCCTCCCTTCTCCAGGGCAGACAAGTTTCGATGAGATT